GCTCGGAGCAGCCCTGCACCCGGGGCGGGGCGGGGGCGGGCGCGTGACGTCACCCCCTGTGCGCTCACAGTGGAGGGTGGGCCCCCGCCGGCGTCCCGGAAGCCCCGTGAGGCGGCGGGACGCGGGGGTTGGGCCCGGGGCGGTGCTTAGACCTGACCGGAGACGGACGTCCAGCGGGTGAGTGAGGCCCGGGGTCCGCCGGGTCCCGTGTCCCCGTTGGTCTCCTGTGAGCGCCTGGAGCTGGGGTTTTCACTTTGTGCAGAAGGTTTCACTTCACCCCCTGAGGTTTCTTAGGCAAGTTCGGTGTTTTGTTGTTTCGTTTTTAAATACGTGCTTTTGTTGATTTTAGAGAAAGCAGGAGAGGGGGAGAGAGAGAAACATCCATGTCGAGAGTCATGGATTGGCTGCCTCCTGCACGCCCCCTGCTGGGGATCGAGCACCTGAGCATGTGCCCTGACCCTGAATCGAACCTCCATCCTCCTGGATCCTAGGTCGATGCTCTCCAGCTGCTGAGCAACGCCTGGCGGGAGCTGGAGCTGTTTGTTTTCTAATGAGGTGGCAGTGGTTAAGGTCATACAGGTTTCAGGTGCACATTCCTGTGATATGTGATCTGTGCATTGCATTGTGAGTTTTTGTCTTAGTCACTTGACCAATAAAAAATGATGTGTAACCATTAGAAATGTGTTGACCTGCGAGTTGCCTGCTGAACTCTTGGGTTCTTTGTTTTGTTTTTGTCTTTACTAACAGACGATGCAGATCTTCGTGAAGACCTTGACCGGTAAGACCATCACCCTCGAGGTCGAGCCCAGTGACACCATTGAGAATGTCAAGGCCAAGATCCAAGACAAGGAGGGCATCCCCCCAGACCAGCAGAGGCTGATCTTTGCGGGAAAGCAGCTGGAAGACGGGCGCACCCTGTCCGACTACAACATCCAGAAGGAGTCCACTCTGCACCTGGTCCTGCGCCTCCGAGGTGGCATGCAGATCTTCGTGAAGACCCTGACCGGTAAGACCATCACCCTCGAGGTCGAGCCCAGTGACACCATCGAGAATGTCAAGGCCAAGATCCAAGACAAGGAGGGCATCCCCCCAGACCAGCAGAGGCTGATCTTTGCGGGAAAGCAGCTGGAAGACGGGCGCACCCTGTCCGACTACAACATCCAGAAGGAGTCCACTCTGCACCTGGTCCTGCGCCTCCGAGGTGGCATGCAGATCTTCGTGAAGACCCTGACCGGTAAGACCATCACCCTCGAGGTCGAGCCCAGTGACACCATCGAGAATGTCAAGGCCAAGATCCAAGACAAGGAGGGCATCCCCCCAGACCAGCAGAGGCTGATCTTTGCGGGAAAGCAGCTGGAAGACGGGCGCACCCTGTCCGACTACAACATCCAGAAGGAGTCCACTCTGCACCTGGTCCTGCGCCTCCGAGGTGGCATGCAGATCTTCGTGAAGACCCTGACCGGTAAGACCATCACCCTCGAGGTCGAGCCCAGTGACACCATCGAGAATGTCAAGGCCAAGATCCAAGACAAGGAGGGCATCCCCCCAGACCAGCAGAGGCTGATCTTTGCGGGAAAGCAGCTGGAAGACGGGCGCACCCTGTCCGACTACAACATCCAGAAGGAGTCCACTCTGCACCTGGTCCTGCGCTTGAGAGGAGGTGTCTAAGTTCCTCCTTTTAAGCCTTCAATCAGTTTAATTGCACGTTTCTTTGAATAAAGTTGTTGCATTCACAAGAAGTGTGATTTCTTTTTTCCCCCCCTCTATCAGTGTTAAGGAAGTTTTTCTTAATTTAGAATGTGGTGTTGAGGGATCAAGGTTTTCCAAGTCTAACATAATTTTGTGGTAATGAGGAATAATGTAAGTGTAAGGTGGCCTTAAATAAGACGGGTAAGAATGAAAAGTTGACAAATTGGAGGTTGCAGTTAGAATTTTTCACATGTACACACAAATGTAGGTTTACTAGGAAACTACTGACTAAAAATCTGAATTTGGATGTGGTAGTAGGTGCCTGAGAATGGGGGAGTTTCTGGAATAACAGAAGGTGAAGGGTGGGGTGGTTGACAGGAATGCAGGAGAGATCAACTTTAATATGTAGCTTTATTTAACGTCAGTTGTATAGAAAATCATTGGGCCAGACTTTGAAGGAAGGGTAGTGTGCATTATGCTAGTGGCTACTTTGAGAAGAAAAGCTATTGGAATAATTGATCAAGTGTGTGCTTCAATTTCATGGGACTACAGATGCAGGTTCTTGTATAACTTGTAGTGGGTGAAGCAGAAGTAGTTGGCCCTTGGTCTTTATTTACAGACATTCATAGTAGTGGCGTTTGCCCAATCAGATGATGCTGGTAAGTGGTTCTTTATATCAGTACTAGAACCAAGGAAGGAAGTTGCAGGGAAGGTGGTTTAATATAAGTAGGCAGCCCCGAAAGTCAGCCCCCTTAAAGATTTTCTCCAGAGAGCACCAGCCCTTCCGCTCCAATTCCTGTTTTAGGGTATTACGGTGTAGAGAAATTTTGCTCATTAAGAATGGCCACAACATGGGGAGTTAAAAACCTCAAATCACTTGAAAATAACCACTGCCGGACAAGCATCGCAAAGTTCCTGAGTGTTGACAAGTTTTTAGAGTCTGCAGGTACAAGTGGTTCAGTAGCTAGCAGTAGTTGAAAGTGTGGGACTGGGTCATTTCGTTGCACCCTGATGTCCCTTAAGACAAGTGGAGACCCTACCTGCGTTCCCCAGGGCTGGAAGGGTCTTGGGATTGGAGCACCAGAGCGTTAGTCTAATGAAGCTGTGGTGTTTCAGGGTGGGGGTGCTCAGCTGAGCTCACTGAACACGGCTCCTTGAACTACAGTGCTTCCTGTCACCAATCACAGAAAAACCAATACATTAAAATCCAGGTGTAGAGGACCGGGCAAGCTTGCTCCCAGGAAGAGTGAGTTAGGAACATGCTTGCCTCATTGTTTATAAGGTGTGTGCTATGTGTTACAAAGCCAAAGATAACCCATCTAAATCCTTAATCAACTACCCATTTTTACTTCCCAGTGATAAAGCTTTTAATTAAAGTTGCAGTTTTTTGGATTTTTTTCCCCTGTGCAATGTACACACCACATTTATTATATACACATGTATACACACAAACAGGGCCATTCACAAGTTTCTAAGCTTTTTTTAATAGTCCATGAAAAGAGTATATGCTGCTGTTTTTGCTCAGTTTCAACTTGCAATCAAAATTCAAATTTGATTCCTTGGTCATAAAAACTTGCTTTACATATTATTTACATGTCACCAAAATCTACAGCAATACCAAACGTGACAAGGACTTGACTCTGGTACCCTCAGCTTTCCTTTTTTTGAACTAGTTCTGAACATTTTTTTCACACCAGTATATCTGGACATGCCTCATTCTTGCTAATACTCTAGCCTCCCATCCACCCAGTCAGGATGTACGTGGCAGTTTTTCTATGTGTATACAATTCCCCGCTCACAGAAGACAGCATACCGCACCTTGCCTTTTATGTAATTTTCTCGAGCAAAGAAAGCAACAGTCCCTAGTGAACATTTACAGGACCCGCCAACAAATACAAGCATGTCCGGAATCACAGCGATCCAATGATTAATGGGAAGGGTTTCTGCCATCGAGGAGTCCTCAGTCTAGTATTTAAATAACAGATGCTAGATGTGATCAGTTTCAGAGTGGCTGGTAAATCTGCAAGCACCCCCAAGTTTGGTTTCACACTTGAATTAATACTATGTAAGGGTTCACTTAGGTAGATGCAGTTGTGTGAGCCTCGAATAAACCAGAAGAAAATTTAGTTGTTTAAAAGTAGTGTTCCTTTTTATGTTTTATGTGAAAGCACAACAAAATCCTCACCAAGCTACTTACACATACGGCTTTCGCAGAGGTGAATTGTTTACAGATTGGCAAGAGCCTTTTGACTTAAGGATGTCATTTTGGTCTGCAGCGTCCATTTCTGCCGGAAGAGGGAGCAGCTGGGACGGACTGGCTTAGGCAGGCGGCCTGCAGCGCCCCCTAGCGGCTCCAGGTAATTTGTTTTCCCGCGTGAGGCAGGCCCCTGGAGGGCCTTTCGCAGTGCTCTTCTCTACTTGGTCATCAGCAAACTGCGTCGGTCACATCTGGGGGCCAGCCTGTGAGTTTAGAGACAAATAAGAGAAAATCATTTTGCCCAGAGGGCAGGGGTGGGAAGCAAGTCACTGCTGTGAGGAACTGACTTAAACACATCCTCGTTAGAATTGGAAACAACTACTTTTATTTTTTTAAAATTTTCAAATGTGTATTCTTATTTATTTACTAGATTATGCTTAGATGGAAGGAACCTATTGTTTTACACATACCAGCAGGTGTGGCTCAGTTGGTTGAGCATCCTCCCGAGCACCAAGAGGCCACCGGTACTATTCCTGGTCAGAGCACATGCCCGGGTTGCCAGCTCGACCCCAGTAGGGCCATGCAGGAAGCAGCCGATTGATGTTTCTCTCTCTCCTTCGCTCTCTAAAAAATCAAAAACAGATTTTTAAAAAAATGAAGTAATGCACGTGCATGTAAAAAATTAAAAATGGGGCAGAGTAGAATTTTTCTCATGTCCTTGGCCCTCTGTTCTGTCTCAGGCTGTTGGGGCGGCTGTGACAAAGCACCATAAGCTCGTGGCTCAAACAACAAGCGTTTCTCGCAGTTCTGGAGGCTGGAGGTCTAACATCAAGGTGCTGGCTGATCTATGTCAGGTAAGGCCCACTTTCTGGCTCACCAATGGGGAATCGAACCCACAACCCTGGTGTACAGAATAGAAAATCACATCCCTTACGAAGTGTCCCCCTGATATTTCCAGTGCCCACCTGGCACCATGCACAGTTATTACAGTGTTATTGACTATGTCCCCTATAATTGGCATCCCCATGACTCTTCTGTAGCTATCAACCTGTACTTCTCAGTCCCTTCACCTTTTCACCAACTCCCCCACCCCCTCCCCTGCGGCAGCCATCACTCCGTGCTCTGTGTCTATGAGTCTGTTTCTGTTTTGTTTGTTCATTCATTTTGTTCATTAGGTTCCACGTGAATGTGAAATCATGTGGTATTTGTCCTTGGTGGCTGTCTTTTCTATGTATCCTCATATGGCAGGAGAGGCAAAGGAGCTCCTCCATGGGGTCTCATAAGAAGGGCACCAATCCCATTAGGAGGGCTCCACCCTTATGGCCTAATCACCTTCCAAAGGCCCCATTAATTTAAAACACCCAATTGAATTTTGGGGGGACACAAACATTCAAATTGTATCAGTTCCTTTGCCCATGATCAGCAGTTTCTTGTATATCCTAAATATTCTATGCATTCGGGAGGCTACTTGCATGACCCTTTTTCTAACTACATAAACTGAAAGCATACCATACATACTCTTTTTTAACAAATATCTTTATTGATTTCAGAGAAAGCAAGGGAGGCGGAGAGAGAGAGAGAGAAACACCAATGATGAGAGTCGTTGATCGGCTGCCTCCTGCATGCCCCCTCCTGGAGATCAAGCCCGCAACCTGGGCATGTGCCCTGATGGGGAATTGAACCTCAATCTCCTGGATCCTAGGTCGATGCTCAACCGCGGAGCCACCCCAGCCAGGCCATACATACTCTTTCTACCTTGTTTTTTTTCCACGTAAGAATATTAATTTTAGCCCTGTCAGGTGTGGCTCAGCGGTTGAGCGTCGACTTAGGATCCAGGTGGTTGGGGTTCGATTCCCGGTCAGGGTACATGCCCAGATTTAACACCACAGCCACTATTCACATGTGGCTATTTAAATTTAAATCAGAACAGAATGAAATTATTTTCTCAATTGCACTAGCCACATTTCAGGTGCCCAACAAAAAGATTTGACTGGGGCTGACAGACTGGACAGCGCAGATACAAACCAATCCCATCCCTGCAGAAAGTCCTGTTGGACAGTGTGGGGGCAGAGGGGCCATAATTTAGTTAAGCAATCCCCAATTGCTGGAGATTCAGGTTGCTTCTAATATTTTGCTACTGTAACCAGTGCAACAAGACTGTTCTTGCCCATAGGTCTTTGCTCATGAGTACTTGTATAGCTGAAACATAAATTTCTCGAAGGGGGCTTGCTGGGTCAAAGGTCATAGGCATTTTACATTTAGCCAGGCTTTTCCCAATTCCCCTCCAACAAGGTTATCCAAATTTACACTTCTGCCAGCGTTAGTTAGGCAACAGTACCTGTCTCTCACACCCACACCCTCGCTGGCACATGGGCTTCTCCAGCTCAGATCTTCTCTCATCTGCTAGGTGGAAAATGGGAGCTAATAATAGTTTCAATGTAGCTTACAGTTGTTTTAATAAGAACCTCGTTAATTATTTCATTTGACAAAATCACTTTCAATGTGGAAAACCTTTCTTGAAGCTTTTTATGTCTCACTGGGGGACTTTGTCCTCTGGGAGGGCGTCTTGTTGATACTGGTTGCCTCATCCATCATCTGTGTTGAGCTGTGTGCTGCTAATTATTAGCTATGGTGGGTACAGAGGGAGAGGCAAAATCAGATACAGAGTATCCAGAGCTCTGACAACAGGTAACAGTGTCTCACAGGACATTATCAGGTATAGCTTGTTCATTTACCTGGACTAGTAAGGGGCTGTCACTGGCCCTTCTCAGTGACTGGTTGACCAATCTGTTCTTGGAATCCAAGATTCAGGCAGGAACAGACATGGAACTGTTGACTTAGCTGAAGTAT